TATATATATATATATATATATATATATATATATATACCGTTGTGTTCCAATAATTATACAGTAAAAAATTTGACGTTAAATCGAATACATTTTTTCACATATCTCAAACGGCCCACGCAAGTTTTTGTGTTAATTTAACATAAGATGAATATGTTGAAAAATAACATAAATATGAAGTATAAAATGTGTTGTTATGACTTATACGTGTTGAATATCGACTCGACACAAAATATTGAGATAGTATAAATACAATATGCTAAATTAACACACGGCAGTGTTAAAAATTTAACTCAAAAGTTTTAACAAGGACCGATTGTGACACACAAGTACAAAATCTTTTTTACCGTATACGATCGTGTTGGATACGAAAAGACTTGCTAAACTACGCGATTCGTTCACGACACTTCGAGAACACAACGCGTGAAACCGTATACGTGACCTCCCAGTCCACACATACGACAAACATTAGTTTACGGTTACGCTTCTTAGAAGACTGATAAGAGAGTCACTATAAATATTTGAAGTTCGATACAACGGTCGACAAACAAGATGTATTCGTTCGTTTGGAAAATCATGTGTTTAAACATTACAAATAAAAGTTGAATAGCGCAGTTCAGATTATACACAGTTGCGATGCAAGCAATGATATCTATCCATTGTCAACAACGTGTACGTGTGTATATTTTTTTAATCCAATTTATCTGCTTCTTACAAAGATCATATTCACTTCTCCAATATGATGATTATCGATTCGATGACCGTGCAGGTCCGGTGTCGCATGAATCCTCCACGTGCGTGAAGTTGGCCATTTGTTTACGATCGTCGGCCATGTCGTTATTTACGCACAGATGCTTTATCGTAACTCAGTATAGCGCGCGCGTTTCAATATCGGCTCGCGTTGCGAACGATTAAAAACAGCAGGTTGCGCCAGAAGAGCCGACCGAGCTCGTGTAAACAACGCGAGAAGTCGTGTTGTACTCACCGTGACGCGAAGAAATAGACGAGATTCGGGCTCGGTTCACATTCGGGTAATGTAGCACCGACGATTTTCTTCCTGAGGCTTCGTCGAGGTCAAGATTTACAGCTTGCCGAGCGGAGTCTCTGTTCCTGTCCCTGGTGAATCGCTGCTCCCACCTCCCTTCCCTCGCCGTCATTTACGGAGTTCCTCGTCCCTCGCTGTTCTTTTGCCGATCACAACGTAAACCGAGGTCCTGTTTCACAAAGAGTTCCGCGATGAGGAGGAGCCGTGGAGACTCGTCTAGGTTTCGCTTCTGTCACGGTATCTATCGCGCCCACTACGACGGCACACGAGATCGATCGCGTCGCGAGAAATCACCGGAGTCGGCGAAAGCACGCGTGATATGTAACGGGAGAGCCACGTTGGACGCGGGAGACGTCGCGACGTTACCGCTGCCGCGCAGCGAGCGTGTTCCCTCGGGGCGGTCTTTGTGTTTGGAGGTTAGGTTCGAGCATCTGGCGTCTCTCGGATGCTCGTTTCTCCGGCCGCGGTGTGTGTCGGACTACGGCGGCCACAGTGGCGCGTTCTCGCGACAGAAGGGACGTCCACAGCGTGACCGCGTCGTAATGCGCGCACCGACACGATCGCGAGCGAGTGCGACGTGCACCGAGCCGCGCGGAGCCACAGCACGGCGGAACCGGCGAAAAACTGCGTGAACACAGAACCGTGCTAACTGCGCGACCGGCGTCAGACTGCCGCGAGAACGGAGCGGGGATTCAGTTGAGTGGCATCGCCCGTTTAGAGGGGTTGCCCTTCCACTCTCTCTCTCTCCTTCGTGGCGCGAGACTAGCCGACCACCGGCCCGACTCCCCACTACCAGCGCTGCCAGCGCTACCCCTGTTGTCCCTACCGCCGTACTCGCTCCCACTCCGTCCGCCGTACGGCTCCCCCCGCTGCGTCGTCGCCCGCGACTTCTATGACTCAGTCCCCACTGCTACACGGTCGCGCTGGTGAAAGAGTGTCCGTGTGAAAGAGAGAGGGACTCGGTCGCGCGAGTGAGACGTGCGTAGGAGGACTAGAATGCGCCCTAGTGATGCGAGAGAGACGAGAAGATGCGAGAGCGAGAGCAGGTGACGAGCTTAGCGGGACGGAGACTACGGCTGGTGTTCCAACAGAGAAGGCTGCGAGGGTTCATCAAACGAAGATGGCGGAGGTAAGTGAGGCGCGAGTGCGAGAGAGTGAGTTGCCGTTGATACCGCCGAGAACGAAGGAGAGAGGACCGGCGGTATGAGAAAGATAGGAATGTAGGCGAGAGGTAAGAGAGAGAGACGGACGCGAATGAGAGTACTACGAGTGAAACGCGCTGGTCAGACGGAGACTAGCTTCGTTGTCGCAATAGAGAGGACTTGCTAGCGATGCAACCGATTAGAAAGAGACGGTTCGAATAAGTGGAATGCGCACGCATGCGCCGTATTCGAAACTCGGCACGCGGTCGCGCCCAAACGCATCTCCCCGCGATCCTCATATTGATGTACTACGCTCTTGCACTCGCGGCGAGCCGATTGCGACCGTCGCAAATACGAGGGAAGTCGTACGGTAGAGACAGACGACGGATCGTCCTCGTGTACCCACGTATATCACGTAGAGCCGTATGGGTGACTTTATCGTACACACGAGCACCGAGATGCTGCGCGCGGACGAGCAAGGTACGTTAACTGGGTTTAAGCGTGCGGACACGCCATCAATTCGCGCGGCTTTTCGCCGCGATTTTAATTAGCGCGAGCAACATCGAGGCCGATGACACGGTGAAGGGAAACGTAGAACTTGAACGAATCTGAATCAAGCATAAGGCGAGACAACGGAGAATATCAATATGGCGGTCTTAATCTCGACTGTCATTGGCCGGTCGGTTAACCGTTCAACTGCCGTAACGAATAAATAAGTAACGACTACATATGACTGGCTCTTAGCCTCAAATTCAGCCAGTTCGATCGTCACTCTATCGAATTTTGATCGCTATTTTGGAAAATGCGCTCGATGTATGAAATCATTACAGACACGAGTAGGTGTACATGTATCTCTCAATGAGGACAGTTCATCCGTCTCTCGATAAGGTTAGGTCATTTATCTCTCGATAAAGCTTGGCTCGCATTTACCGTCGTCGCGATTCAAGCCGAACGTGATGGAAAGCTCGGTTTGCGCAGCGCTAGACAGCGTAATTAAAATATTACGCGACCGGTTCGCATTGTCTCGCGCAATACGAGGCAATTTAAAGTTTACGAACGCCGGTTGTCGCGCAGAAATTTCTCGCCTCGAGCAATCTCCCTCGATATTGCTCGATATCTTCGCGTATAGCGGGATCATACTTCCGTCGCGCTTTTAGGAGCGCACTACCTTTACTATGCAGCCGGTAGCGGTCTCCCTCTGTTCATCTTTCTCTTGCATCGCGTTTTCCTGAATTCTTCAGCGATGCAATTCCGTGTACACGCGGCGCGCGAGAGACCGCGCTGCGAAACGAGTCTCTGAAAATGCTGGGCCGCGGCATCGCGGGGTTAACTAATGAATTCCGGCGTGGTTATACTAGCTAGCCGTCGGGGCTCGGCTACGTTTCGAGGTCTTATCGTTGGCTGGAAATCAGCCTGTCTGGCAGATGTTCGCTAAAACGTCGACCTCTCGCGTCTCCTTGCGCATCCTCTACATCTTCCGTGACTCGTTCGCTCTTCTCGAACTCGAGGAACACCGACGTAAGATGCTAAGTGTGAGCATCTTATTCTCGCGCCCCCGTTCTTCCTCGCGTTATGGCGAACACGAGCTGCCGCGTCTCAAATTGTGCTCCCGGGATTCGGATTATGTTCTTGAATTTCGGGGTATCACGTTCGTGGACGCCTGGCGAATCGTCGGAAAGAGATCATAGTAACACTTGAATTCATACGAACGGGGAAAATACCGGGAGACTCGCGTCGCGTTCTGCTATATCCCGACGTCATCGTCTTCTCCACGTGATCCGCGCGAAAAATGTATAAGCACTTTTTCTATATTTTATGCCAATACTTTGTTTTTCACATTGTTTCTTACGTTATGCCGTCACGAAGAAATGTTTCTGCGTGCTCATGCGCTCTCTCTTTCTCTCTTATACGATAGAAACGTAGCATTGTGTTAGCATAACGCACGAAAGGACCAAATTCCGCCTATAATTCATTGAATGTCTGATTATTTTTTTTTTTTACAAACAGTTGCAGCCGATTCACAACCGATCGGTTTCAATTCAGCTCTCGCGCAGTCTTAGAACATATTTCCCCTTTCCTCCTCGCCGGTATCCCCGAGCTCTTCTATTATGCGAGCTAACACTCGGCGTAAGATGGAATCCCATGCCGGCAGTTTCACGAAAGTTAACAAGTTTTCAGCCGATTAGACTTTTAATCGTTATTACCTACTTTGCTGAGTGCCGCGTTTATCGCCGCGGCCAATTAAAATCGCGATGCAGGCGTCGTTTTTCCCAATTGCTCTACCCAAGCTCTTCGAATCTCGTTTACTTCCGAAGAAAAGGCAGCGTCTTAATCGTTTTACGTAAATGTGTCGATTACGTGATAGCATGCCAAACTCTTGTAGATTTCTCGGGAATAATATTATTTTCCAACTCACAAGCTCGCGTCGGGTCGCAAAAGCTCGAAAATATTTAACGATATTGCTCTTTGATTCTTTGATAAATTCGAGCGCGTTTGTATCCGTGAGAAAACATTGCGCATCCCAGCGTTTCACAACGATTTTACGTACGCAAAGAAATAAAGAGAAATTACAAACACATCCTTGTCGGTTTCCTTTTTTTTTTCCTTTTTTCATAGGGCATATCAAAGTTACCGTTAATGTCAAGACGCAACTGGACCGAGTTTATGTTTAATAATCGCCGGAGGAAAATTGTTTGCTCTGAATGCGCACAAGTATATATTACATTTTTTTCTTCCCCGGGGTTTACGAGAGGAAATGAAATTCCTTTTTACTCGCTCTTCGGATATATACAATCGTGTTTCTCCGTGCTCGGGCGTGATGGGGGGAAATGAGAATATACCGTGCATTCCTCTCCGCTTCCTAAAATCGTCAAGTGATGCATTTATTTTCAATTTGTTCCGTATACCGCCGTAATTCATCATCGGGCAGATATCAGGAGGATTTCTCTTATTTGCACCGCGAACGCATGTTTAGTGGAATTCGTCCGTTAATTAAATCGAATCGATTGTGTGAGTAGCGAAATAAAATCGGAGTAAACGCGCCGGAGAGTCTCGAGCAATCATAACGAGAGAGCGATGAGGAATCTCACGAGTATTAAAACGAAAAAGAGAGAGAGAAAAAAATTCGTACTGCAACCGCGCGCGCGCGAATTTACGCGCGAAAGGGTTATCAATGCCGGCGCGGAAACCGGCGACAAAGAACTCCTCGAGTCATTCGTCATTTCTAACGTTCTTTCCCGCTTCGTGCGACGTGACATCGTACCTGGCAATCGGTAAAAACTGGAAACGACACGTACTAGGATGAAATTCTGCCTCCGATGGATTCCAACGGTACGTCAAACCGGTCCGATCGAATCGTGTACATAGTCCATACCAGCGCCTGACGGCTTTGTCAGTAGACAACTCCCTTGTCCCCTTGTTTGTCTTGTCTCTTTTGAGCTGACATTCCATGGCGTGCTGGTACTCTGAGCGTCTATCGGGAAGCGAAAAGCGCGAGACAGTATGTGCACGAAGCGCCGTAGTGCGCCATGCTTCATCGCGGACGAGTTCTCATCTTTTCCGTTGCCGGAGCATTCTCGCGCACGCGAGATTCAATTTTCCCTGCTTTGCTCGAGAAGTTGCAGGGAGATGGCCTCTAATAAGATTGTAACTCGTAAACGTAACTTTCCGCGAGATTCGCGGATTTAACGGGAGAATATTTTCGCGCACAAACAGAAAGAACGCCAGTGATATCGCCGTTTGCGCATTACACGACTGTGTTATACGACTGTAATGTAATATGCGGCATCGGTTGGCCGACGAATCGCTCGTAGATACAGATAATCGTCACTTCAGCACAGCCGTTTAGATTCGCGTTTAACTAACACCAAGATTTCCGTCTCGATTTTATTCTCGTTTTACCGCCGGGGAAGCCATCTGTCTCGCGAAATCGACGCTTTTTGTATTCGGGCGTTTCCTGACGTTAAAGCGCGGACGCTATCCATTAAGACGACGACAACGATCATCCGCACCTATACAAGCGAACTTGTTAGTCGATACATTCCCCACACCTGTTGTTGTGGATACCACAAATGTGTGATCAAACAGGCACGGTAGGCTTTGACGCATCGAAGGACATTGTAGGTGCTAATTAAATGCACCCTTTAACGTGATACAAGGTCTGCGAAGCATCTCGCGCTGGATGAACACTTCGTAATATCGATCGATAACTACGTGCCTGAACAAAGCAGGAGAGGACGACATTAAGGATATATACGACGCGCTCCGCTAAAGCATCGAACATATTGTAGATGCGACACGTTTCACTTAGACTATAATAATATATAATTACGATATCGCTTTCCGCTTGAATTAGACGCACGTGTCGGGAGTTGTTTGTGTCCCACGTGAGACGTGTTTAAAATACTGTTACCTGTGTCTGCATGCTCGCGCGCGCGCGATTGTCGAGATTACCGAGGTTACCGTTGCGCCGGTAAATGTCGAAGTTAACTGTTATCAGTCTGCAGAATCATATTTCGCGATACGCGTTGATCACGCACGTGATCCGAGATCAACACCACGTCGGGCCATTGTTTCTCGCGTAAATCGACCTTCCGCGCGAAGAGAGGAGGTTCTCGCGCGCGCGCGTTTTCATACAACTGGAATTCCAGCTTCTCTGAAATTTATCGGCGGATCGTCCTCGCGGAAGCGACTCGTTTCCATCGTCAGCGCTATTAATAATCGTTTGCCGGCGGATCTTTCGCCGGCGGAGAGAGGTACGCGGCGAATCTAACGAACGACGTTAGCTCTTCAATTTACGACCGGCAGGTTATGCTACCCCGCAACGGCTGAAACGTATTGTAGTCATTAAGCGGCGATCGATTAAGCACCGTCGCACGGATGTTTATATATCCCGCGCGTAGGTGTACACACGCTCGTCTCTGATTTATCAACGGACTCGCGGCGCCTTCGTCTGGAAATTAACCGGCGGGTTGCAGCGGGATGAAAGTGGAAACGGTGGCGCAGATATAGTGTGCACGCTTGCAGACGGGCCCAGAGTCCGTTGGCAATGGAACATTAACTAATTACCTTAAACTGGCAGTCTGGCGTTTCTGTAGCCTCCTCGATTCAGCCATCGCCGGATCCGGTTATCGGGAGGCGGAAACAGATTATGTTAGTTAGGATGCGATTTAATTAAGTCCTCTCTGACGCGGCGTTAGCGGAGATCAACGACAGGACAAACTAATTGTTGTGTGTCGTTGCTAACAGCTTCGTCTGCTACCGACCGCGTCGACGAGGCGCTATCGATCAACGACGACGGGGGGGATTGCCCAAAAA